AATACCAGCAATAAGTATATCAATTCATTTAGCATATAAATTATAGAAGGTTTGAATTTAATTTTGTGGAACACCCCACAGGAGGGCCATAAAACACAGATTATTTGTTCCTACCACTTTCAACAGCTGGCAATGAGGAAGACCAATATTAACACTCAAGATGCAAAAACACTAAATAAAAGTCATCTTGATTTACTAGCACCTAAATATTTTACTACAAATTAATAAATAACTGATTGATCCCTGTGATGTTTGCTAGACTCACAAAATAAATAAAAACTTGGACAATACTCCTTACTTCCATCCCATATAAAGATGTTCACACAATAGGATTAGCAGGATTCTAGGTCTTTTGCTTCTTGCACCAAATACGAGTTTAGGTAATAACTGTAATATGGAATCACACCAAATGACTGTTGATATTAATGCCTTCTGTGCTCGGGTAATTTGAGTTACAAAATCTACTATAGAATTAGCCAAAGCAAGGTTTTAAGACGGTAAATATTAACAGCTTCCAAATCAACTTAATTGTAAAATATTAAAGTCGATATATTAAATTTGAAGTTGATGTTTTCCTTAGCAAAGCAAGCCACTCAGAATTTGATGAGAAATTTAGGTAAAGAATGTCCAAATACTGTTAATAAGCAACACTTTTAAAGAATCCTTTAAAATGAAGGAATCTTACTCCAAAATGTGGACATGGATAATACAAAACAAATATATTTATAATTTAAAACCCAGCCAAACAAGTTGTTTCCCTTATACAAATGAATGTTTCCTTCTCCAACCCCACCCACATATGCGTCCAATGCTGCTTCTCACTAACCACTGCAACCTAGGCAATGTTATCCACTTGGGCCATGATGTAGTAAAGTTCTAAATATTTTTGGAGATTTCATGAAAACATGCAACTGTATTAAACATCCAATATCTACAACCCAAATGCCCCAAAATAGATGACTGGATCAAGAAGATGTGGTACATATACACCATGGAATATTACTCAGCATTCAAAAAAGATAAACACATGCAATTTGCAGCAACATGGATGGCGCTAGAAGGGATCATGCTCAGCAAAATAAGCCAGAAAGAAAAAGAAAAATACCGGATGGTCTCACTCATAGCAGGAATCTAGAAAACTTAAATAAGGGACCAGGAAAATGAATAACTATAAGAAAGTGAAAATCAAAATCAACAAAAAACTATGAACCAGAGACACTCTATGGGGGGTGAGGAGCGGGGAGGGGAGGGATTGGGGTCAAAATAAGGGGGTTGCAATTGTATGGGGAATATAAAAATAAAATTTATTTAAAAAAAATAAATAAACATCCAATATCTTCTGTTAGTAACTGACAACAGAGTAGTAAACAAACATTAAGATAAAAAGTAATAAAAACAATAAAGCCATACACATAGATTTTAGATTAAATCATAAAATATTTAAAATATACAATTATATATAAAAATAACAAATATTATATATATTTATATACCTATATTTGAAGAAAACAATAAAAAATGAAGATTTGGTACCACTGTGGAGATTCCTCCAATTCTTTCTGATTACAAAGTAAATAAATATTGAAGGTCAAAAATGCAATGCTTCCTCTGAAAGAACTATAAAAATATCACCAGCACCATGGTAATCACCTCATATTTATGATCTATATTGAACACCAAAACTTGTTATATATTGTCCTTACAGAAATGCTTCTGGGCAAGGTCACCAGATAGAGGGGAAAAAAGCATTTCATTAAGAGAGGGGAAAATGACTACTTCATAGCAAGATGACAGAGATATTGTAACCAATAACATGTTTTACTGCCATCACAAAGTATCAAATTTAACATTACCTCTTACTAAAATTAACCACTGTGTCCAATTTAAGCCCAGTAATTTACAAAACACAAATAAACCATGTTATAATTTATGTGACAAAAAAGATTTATCAGTTTAACTTTCTATTGCACCAAAAATTGCATCTCTGTAAGAGTGACAGACATCCAGATTCAAGGATTTTCTGACAAAGACATAGGTTTCTATTTCTTATTTTATACTGGTCTTTAAATATCATATGGGTCAAAAGTTTGAGAAGGTAACCCTGAAATTACTGATGCTATCATAAGATGCAGAATTAGTTCGGACTCTATTAAATATGATTATAAACACTGCCCTTCATGTCTAGCTTTTCCCAGTAGTAACAAGTTGACTCTAAAATTCACACAAAAATACAAAGGATACAAAATTACCAAAACACACTAGAAAAAGAGCAAAGTTGGAGGGCTCACAATTTCCAGTTTTAAAACTTATTACAAAGCTATAGTAGTCAAGACTGTGTGTGGTACAAAAACAGACGTATAGATTAGTGGAACAGAAGGGACACTATAAATAAACATTCATACTTAGGGTCAATTAGTTTTTGAAAGGGTGCCAAGACAATTCAAGGGAGTCCCAAAATGCATTTATACGTCAACAAATTATGATATATCTGTATCATGAAACACTATGCAGCAATAAAAAGAAGCAAAGGGAATTTGGTGGATCAAGGGAATTTTGAGAGAAAAGGCAATATGAAAAGGTTACATGATGCAATTTTGCTAAAATAAATTTATAGGGATGGAGAACAAATTATTGGTTACCATAAGTTAGAAGGGATTTGGCGTGGTTCAGTGAGAAGCACCAGTGAACCCTTGGGTGATGGAACATTCTTCTAATAGCACTATGAAAGTGGTTTTACCCACTGCTGATGACGTTAAATTGCTAGTGGAAAATTATTATTTTATAGCACAAATCAAGGTAAGATCACAAAAGTTTTGACCCTTAGACTTAGCCATCTAATTTCTAGGAATAACCTAAAGAAACAATTAATAAATGCTGGGGGGAAAAGATACATATAAACACACATATCTATAAAGATGTTACTACAGTGTAACTGAGAACAGAGAAACTAAATGCAACACAGATGTTTGAGAATATGGTAATCATCAAACCCTCAAAATCTAGTCATGGAATATTATATAGCCATTCATTATGTTGATAAACAGAAAATGCATATTACGAGAGATTAAAGCAAAATTCAAAATTAGCACCTAACAGGTAGTATACATCCTGACTTCAAACTATACTACAAAGCCATAGTAGCTAAAACAGCATGGTACTGGAACAAAACCAGACATGCACATTAATGGAATCAAATTGAAAACCCAGACATAAAGCCACACATAAGGACAACTAATCTATGACAAAGGAGCAAAGAACATGCACTGTAACAAGGACAGTGTCTTCAATAGACAGTGCTGGGAAAACTGGACTGCTACATGCAAAAGAATGAAACTGGACTACTACCGCACACAATACACAAAAACCAACTCAAAATGGATAGGAGCCCGGACTGTAAAACCTGAAACCATGTAACATACAGAAGAAAACAGGCAAAACACTCCATGACATACATCTCAGAAACACCTTTAAAGAATCATACCCCAAAGCAAAGAAAATGAAAGAAAAGATAAAATAGCTAGGACTGTATCAAACTAAAAAGCTTCTGTGCGGCAAAGGAGACAATAACCACGATGAAGCCATAACTTACAGATTGGGAGAAAATATCTGCACTCCATATAACTGATAAGGAACTAATATCAAAGATCTAAAAAGAGTTTATGTGACTCAAGAGAAAAAACAAAATAAAGAATCCAGTCCAGGGCCTCTCCTGGTGGCACAGCGGTTGAGCACTGGGTTGCAAAGATGCCCACAGCCTCTGCAGCTCCAGTTCAATCCCCGCCTGCCAGGTGAGGGTCCCACACGGTGTGCAGACATCTCTTGCCACTCACTGCTCCCCTCAGCAGTGTATTTCGTCAGTCTGCCTGTTCTGTTTCCCGCTCTGGCTCTGGTGAATTCTCTCACTCTCCCGCGCTTCTGACTGTACCCAGTGCTTATATAAATAAATAAATAAATCTTTTTAAAAAAAAAATACTAAAAAAAAAAAATCCAGGCCAAAATGAGCAGAAGAACTAAAAATACTCTTCTGCAAAGACAAAGGCAGATGGCCAACAGGCTCGTGAAAAAATGCTCAACATCACTTACAATCAGGGAAATGCAAATCAAAACCACAATGAGGTATCACCTCACACTAGTAGGAATGGCCCACATTAAAAAAACTAACTACAACAAATGCCAGCTGGTGGGAATGTAAACTGGCCAACCACTATGTAAAACTGTGGGGGGGACCCTCAAATCACTAAAACTAGATCTACCATAATACCCAGCAATTTCACTCCCAGGAATCTACCCAAAGGACACAAAATCAGTAATTCAAAAGAAACCTGCACTCCTATGTTCATTACAGCATTATTTATAATAGCTAAGATACGGAAACAACCTAAATATACAAAAGCAGATGACTGGATCAAGAAGATGTGACATATATATACACAATGGAATACTATTCAGCAATCAAAAAAGATGAACTCACCCCATTTGCAGTAACATGGATGGAGCTGAAAGGGATTATGCTCAGTGAAATAAGTCAGAAGGAAAAAGAAAACTATTGCATGAATTCACTTATAGGAGGTATATAGGGAAACCAAACAAGGGGTAGGGAGAGAAAAAGAAAAAGACAAAACTAGCAGGAAAACTATAAATTGGAGACACACAGCAGGGGAGTGGAGAGGAGAGGGATCAAAACAGGGGAGAGAAAAGCACAAGAGATTATGGTGATGGTTCACAGGTGATTTGGTGATGGGAATTTTATGGGGATAACATATGAGAGGAAAAATCAAACATACAAAATGAACAATAATGTAAAATATATATATTTAAATAAGTATATTTAATTAAAAAAATTAGCTCCTAACAATGCACATAAAATATCAGGAAATATATTTCACAAAAATGAAAGATGGTAATTATATTATTGAATATTATGAGCAGTTAAACTTTTTATAGGGTTGTCATATTAATTTCATAATTAAAGAAATAAGCATAAGAATAAGCAGCTTTACCTTATCTGAGAAATCAACCAAAGCTGTAAAGTCCCATTTCTTAGAATATGCCACATTGTATTTCAGAATAGCATCCTATGGAAAAAGCACAGACAAACCTCATGATATAGGCAGTTGAAGTGTCCATGAAAAGCTTGTCCTTTTTATGAGCCATTTCCAGTAAATTTCTTAGTGCTAGATAAGCTTCTTCCTGTCACTAACTACTCTACATCACTGGTCATAAATAAATATAATGCATACTAACTTATTATTCACTTTAGAAAAAATGTGATTAGAAAGGTCAAGCAAGGGCCTCCCGGTGGCACAGCGGTTGAGCGCTGGGTTGCGAAGCTTCCCGAAGCTGCCTGTAGCCTCCACGGTGCCAGTTCGATCCCCGGCCGCCGGCGAGGGTCCCACATGGTGCGACAGACCTCTCCTGCCGTGCTCACTGCTCCCCTCAGCAGTGTATTTTGTCAGTCTGCCTGTTCTTCTCCCCGCTTTGGCTCTGGTGAATTCTCTCACCCTCCCGCGTTTCTGACTATACCCAGTGCTTGTATAAATAAATAATTAAAATCTTTTAAAAAAAAATAGAAAAAGTAGACACAGGCAAAAAAAAAAAAAAGGTGAAGCAATAGGGCTAAAAACATAATTAACCTAAAGCATGCATTCTAAACAGATGATATACTCCAAATGGACAAAAATTGGGGAATTTTTTTAATAATATAATAATTATTGGCCTCAATAGAATCATATTACGAATCTATTACATATACAGATACATACTGTATCTGTAGCATTATAATTTCGGTGGGGAGGGCCAATCATGAAAAACATGTCTAAGCAGGATCACTGGAGGGCAGGAAAATAATGAAGAAAAGATTGAGAAAACACTGCCTTACAGCCTGAAATGTTTTTTTCCCTTTTAATATTAGCTATTTTTATAAACTACATATAAATGTTTATCTTCCACCAGCATTTAACAGAAATGACTCATTTACACAGTGAAAAGTCCAAGTAGTAGTATGCCACCTACTGGTGTAACATAACTCTGAATAGGTAGTACTGCGTACCTGTTTACCAGAGATGGGTATGCATTTGGACAATTCATTAGTTCCGCAGAAATTATATCTAGTTATTTACAATTACATTGTATCTTATCCTTTAAATTTTCTATTCTGATTATATTTCATAATATATGCATTATAAGTAATACATATTATATTAATAAAATAAAAATATAAGAATTTATAAACTTTTTTTTAATGAACGCATAGTAAATCTTTCAAACATGTTACTACTATAAATCTTCCAAATTTCCTCATTGAAGAAGTTTTAAGAAACTAATACTATGTTCAAAGAGTTTCCTAAGAAATACTTCATGCCATATAATCACCAAGCATCTAGGCTAAAAATGAGAAACAAAACGTATGTTATTTACTTGGAATCACATTCCTTCAAAAAGAAAAAAAAAAAAAATCAATCGTAAAACATATGGCAAGAAAAGGTTTTTATTTTTCTCTGTCATAAAATAAGATTTTCAATGAAGAAAGAATAGACTTTAAGGATTTTCTTTTCTAATCACTGGATCTGACTTCAGAATCTCACACAAAGCATTAAGTAGTAATGTATATCAACAGGTGAATTGTCAAACTAAGAGTATACTGGAGCAAGGATGAATCCCGAAGATCTTCATTTTGAGTGAAAAAAAGTCAGAGACACTGGCATAGATATTATGCATTCCACTCACATAAAAGGTAAACCAACCTATATTTTAAAAAGCAACTCAATGATTAGTTTCCTGGGTCATGCAGAAAGGAATCAACCATAAAGGAGTAAGAGGAGTCTTTGGGGATGAAAGGCATGTTCTGTTTCCTGGTTGTTGTAGGGGCAAAAGAATATATGCAAATGGAACCTCATCAAATTAGATACGTTTAAGTATGCACTCCCTTATGTGCAAATTGCTCTTCAAAGTTGATAAGGAAAAACATTTTAATTGGCATTACTATTAACTAGCTTGACTTTAGTCTTCAGGCTTCAAAAATAGTCTACCATGAGGCCTCCACGCATTAGAAAAGCTAGATGCTATTCCATATTCCTAACTGTCAATTATTGAGGGGTTTTTTTTTAAGTTCATTGTTCATTATAAGCATAATTAGTTAAAACACAAAGACGTCCACTCTTTGCAAGTTATCAGATGCTTCACTTAAAGTAATTCAATATCAAATGGCATAAAAACAGTACAAAGAGGGGCCTCCCCTGGTGGCGCAGGAGGTTGAGCGCAGTGCTGTGAAGCTGTCCCCAGGCTCTACAATGCGGGTTTAATCCCAGCCAGCAGGCAAGAATCCCACATGGCATGGCAGACCTCTCCTGTCTCGCCTGCTGCTCCCCTCAGCAGTGTATTTTAGTCAGTCTGCCTCCCCGCTTTGTCTCTGGTGAATCCTCTCACCCTCCCACGTATCTGGCCTGTACCCTGGTTCTTGTATGCATGAATAAATAAATCTTTAAAAAAAAAAAATTACAAAGAATCTAGGCAATAAAAGGGATTGAATATTTCCCCCTCCTTCTCAGTGTTTTTTTCTGCAAAGGAAACAATTACCAGAAGCAGATAGAAGAAAATCTTGATAGATTAGTCTGTGAATCTACTATAAAATAAACAAGAAAGGGAAATTCATTACAAAGCAATTACTCCTTTTGAAAGCAATCATGGCACACGAAGGAATTGTTCAAGAGGTGAGGAGACAATGTAATTCAGAACACCATGATTTACATTTAAAGAAAAAAAATGAAAGTTCTTTAAAATAGCTCTGTTTATAAGGTCACAAAGATCTTAAGACACTGTTTCTTTTTTTTTTTTTTAATAGAGGCATGTTTTATTTATTTATTTGTTTGTTTGTGTTTGTTTTTGTTTATACATGCACTGGGTACAGTCAGAAGCGCGGGAGGGTGAGAGAATTCACCAGAGCCAGAGCGGGGAGCAGAGCAGGCGGAAGGACCGAAGTACACTGCTGAGGGGAGCAGCGGGCGGCAGGAGAGGTCTGCGCGCCATGTGGGACCCTCCTCCGGTGGCCGGGGAGCAGCCGGGGATCGAACCGGCGCCGCAGAGGCCGCGGGCAGCTTCGTAACCCAGCGCTCAACCGCTGTGCCACCGGGGAGGCCCAAGAGACACTGTTTCTTAACAGAAGCTTGGGAAGTATTCTTCTGTGGCCTGCTTCTGTGTTTGGGAGTTGATAACTGTGGTTTTGGAATATAAAGGTCAAATGACAGCATACTACTATAAGATGATGGCTGGTACCTCAAACAAATAAAAATGGTAGAAAGATGGAACAATTCTAAGATACACTATAGTATAGGAAAGTAGAATTCTAAAGAAGCTGATCAAAGAGTTCACTATATAAAATGATGAATTCTGTCTTTATACAGTATTTTTTATTTTTTTTTAAAGATTTATTTATTTATTTATTTATACAAGCATTGGGTACAGTCAGAAGCGTGGGGGGGCGGGGTGAGAGAATTCACCAGAGCCAGAGCAGGCAGAAGGACCGAAGTACACTGCTGAGGGGAGCAGTGGGCGGCAGAAGAGGTCTGCGCGCTATGTGGGACCCTCCTCCGGTGGCCGGGGAGCAGCCAGGGATCGAACCGGCACTGCAGAGGCTGCGGGCAGCTTTGAAACCCAGCGCTCAACTGCTGCGCCACCAGGGAGGCCCATACAGTATTTTTAAAAAGTTTCTGAGTGTAATACTTTGGAGTTGAATAAGTGGTTAAAAAGATGCAAAAAAGGATATACTGACTACAATTTGTTTTCACTATGATAATAAGCATAAATCCAATGATAGTTCATAATGCTTAAATGGGAAAAAAAATCAAACTGATACTCCTATGTCAGCCCTGTAAGTATAGTTTATATTTAGTTTTATATTTGTACATATGCAATTAACACTATACTAAGAAAAAGTAAGCCCTGGAGGAACCTGAGAATTTTTGCCAATTAAAAGGAGTACATTACAAGATTAAATAAAACTCCCTAAGAAATGAAATTTCCAAAAAATTATGGTACAACATATCTATGCTTTTCATGTAAAAAAAATTATGGGAGTTATAGAAAGGTATAGAATGTTTATGAACAACTTGCAAGTATAAATGGAAACAGTATGAAATCTGAGAAACTGAGGGGATGGAGGAAGGAGGCACAGGGGATATTGGCACAGGTGGTTTGGTGAGGGTGAGGGGAACACGTGCATGTATAGAAAAGCAAAAATGTAACTCCCAAAATAAAAATAAAAACTAAGAAACTGTATACAACAAAATTTCAAAGAAAATGAAAGCCATTTTTCCAGAAGTATGGGAAATCGGTTACTGCTTGTAGTTTCAAAACTTTGAAAGTTTACAAAACCAAAAAACCCACACTCACCCATATTTTATAGATTAGAAAAACAATTTAATGGTTGCCCTTCCTGTCTTAAATATTCAAAAATCAAAAAGTAAATTATTACTAAAAGATTAATAAACTGCTAAAAGCTATATAAAAAGCAATAAAAAACAAAATGCTTAATGTATACTTTAACCATTAGGAAACTTGGCTTCCCTTTGGGCAAATACTGGTAAAGCCATAATTTTTTCCTAATTTACTTTTAAAGGCATTTGAGAAACATGATAATTCTAAAACAAAAATAAAAGAGAGCTTGAAGTGAAAGAAATTGGATGGGGAATCAAGAAACAAAGGTCTTATTCCTAGTTCTCCAAATTATTCTGTGTAGCTTCAGGCAAGTCATTTACAACCTTCAATTCTTCTACTCATTTCCTACTGACAGCAAGGGAATCTAGAATGTCTCTATAGAGAGTTCCTTAGAAAGCAAGTGCTTTGCATATAAATAATGTTTTTACCTGAATTTATTAGAGATCAAAAAATGTCTTTCAGAGAGGAGACACAGGGCCTTTTCTAAGAACTACTTGTAACAGACAACAGCAAAGAGACAAGAGCAAAAAGAACATACCTTCAGGTTTTGGGGTCTTGTTAACTTGTTGAGAAGTGCAGTTTGAATCAGCTCCCAGCGGCTCCCTGCAGTTCGCTCACCATTCTTTAAGAAAAAGAAAAAACATATGAAGTAATGATGTTAAGTCCTTTTGTGTCATAGAATCAGCAGTCAAACAAGTCTTTCAAAGACAAAAAGGACATCAATATAGTTCTTCCCCCCTCCCAATAATTTAAGATAGCAAGTTTATTCCACTGAAACACTAACCATATGGGTAATACTAACCATATGGGAAGCTATCAAGCTTCCTTTGGTCTTCAATGACAATGATTGATTTCCCAATGTTGAACCAGCCTTGCATCCCTGAGATGAAGCCTACTTGATAATAATGGTGGGTGCTTCTGTTAATATATTGCTGGGGGCCTTCCCAGTGGCGTAGGGGTTAAGTCTCAGCACAATCACTGTTGAAACCTGAGTTCAATTCCCAGCCATGGAGCTAACCCACATAAGGCACAGCAGACCTCTCCTATTTTGCCCACTGCCTCCCTTAACAGTGTATTTCAGTAAATCTACTTGTTCTGCTCCCCACTCTGTCTCTAGTGATTCCTCTCACCCCTGCCCCGCACCTCTGGCCTACACCCTAGTTTTTCAACAAAATAAATATTAAAATATATACATTTATATATACACACACATACATTGCTGTATTTGGTTTGCTAGGATTTTGAGGATTTCTGCATCTCACATTCATCAGGGATATCGCACTATAATTTTCTTTTTCTTTGGACTGTCTTTGGATTTCTGCATCTATATTCATTAGGAATATTAGTGTATAATTTTCTTTTCTTTTTTTCTGGACTCTCTTTGGTTTTGGGATTAGGGTAAGTGTTGGCCTCATAGAATGTGTTGGTTGGGAGTTTGCCACTCTGATTTTTTTTTTTTTTTGAGGAATTTGAGGATAAATATTAGATCCTCTTGAACATGTGGTAGATTTTACTGGGGAAGCTGTCTGATCCTGGGCTTTTGTTCTTAGGGAGACTTTTCATTACACCTTCAATTTCTATCCTGTGACTATACTGTTTAAGCTATCTACTTCATCCTGATTCAGTCTTGGAAGGTTGTATGAATCTAAAAATTTGTCTATTTCTTCTGGATTTTGACCAGTTTGTTTGTTGAGACATTTGTTGTAGGTTCTTATAATCCTGTGAATTTCTGCAGCATCCGTTGTAATTTTGCCTAAGTCATTTCTGATATTATTTATTAGGGTTTTCTCTCTTCTTCATAAACCTAGCTCCTAAAGTTTCCTAATTTTTCCTATGTCTTCTTGTTTCCTCTTTTTCTAATTGAGTGAGTGTACATTTGGGTCTTCCGTTTCTGAAATTCTTTATTTTGCAAATTCTATTTAAAATGCTTTCAATATTTGTCATCATTTCATTCAGGGTCTGTTTTGTGTTCTTTTAATCTTTTCAATCTCTGTGTTGAAGAAATCTCTTTGTTTCTCGATCTCCTTTCTAAGATTTTGCACCTGCCTGTCTGCCTTTGACTGACATTCCAGTAGCTCTTTTAGCATTTTTAATATTGTTATATTGAAGTCTTTGTCTGAGAGGTCCTCTATTTCTGTATCCTTTATGTTTATCCCAGAACTTGTGTTTTTCTCATTTTGCTCTTCCATTTTGGGTTCAGGTGGTCCTTGCTTCCTAGACATGTGTGTGCTTATTTTCTTTTTATTTATTTTTGTAGTTGGAGTGCTAGCAGGTTAGCTTTGTATGGTTTCTCTTCTTAGTTTACTTTGGCATGAGGTGGAGCAGTAGGGCAGTTTGGGGCTTAAATACTCATCTCCATCTGAAGAGTGAAAATGGTCACCTTCCCCTCCTCTCCTTTCTTTCCATGGCAAGTTCTGATCGGTGCTTTAGTTGTCTTAACTTCTGACCCAACTCCCTGCTACTCCTTTCTACACAGGTCATAATCTATGAAGGCTGAGCCTCATGGTGAGGGGAACTAGCTCTAGTTCATAAGGCTCATGCTACAGGACTCAGTTGGGTTTGATAGTCATGTGGTGCCCAAGCAGAATATGTAACCTGTTGACCTAATATTAATGCTACTCAAACTTTTCAAAAAAACCTGAAGAGGCGGAGAGCTCTCCAACACATCCTATGAGGCCTACACTACCTTGATCCCAAAAACAAACAAGGGAAAACTACACAAAAAAGGGAAAACTACAGGTTGATATCTTGATAAACATAGATGCAAAATATCCTTATCCAAATTCTAGAAAACCAAATACAATAATATGTTAAGAGTAGAGTATCATTCATGATGATCAAGTAGTTTTCATCCCAGGGATGCAAGGCTATTTCAACAATGCAAATCAAGCAAGATCATTCACAAAATCAACAAAAAGGGAGAAAAAAAAACATAGGATCATTTCAATAGACATTAAAAAAACATTCAACAAAATTCAATATCCATTTATGAAAAAAACTAAGTAAAACAGGAACTGGACTTATATGAACATAATAAAAGCCATATACAACAACTACACAACCAACATCATACTCAGTGGTGAAAACTGAAAACATATCTCATAGATTAGGAAAAGTTAAGGGTGTCCAATTTTACTATTACTGTTCAACATAGTATTGAAAGTCTTAGCTGAAGCACACAGGTAAGAAAAAAAACATAAAATGAATCCAAATTGAAAAAGAAGATGTGAAGCTGTCACTTTTCATAGATGACACAATTATATAAACAGAAAACCCAAAGGACTGTACAAAAAATGTACTAGAAATAACAAATTAATACAGTAAAGTGGTAGGACACAAAATCAATACACAAAAATCGGTTCATATCTATATGTAAATAATGAATTAGAAGGGGATTTTTTTTTAAATCCCATTTACAATTTATTACAATAATGTATGCATGTCATACAAGTCATTGCAATAATGTATATAATGTATTTCATTATAATACCTGTAAGTAAACTAACAAAGGGGATGAAGGTCTTATATACTGAAAACTATAAGACTGTGCTAAAGAAAACAAAAGAAGAAACCAAGAAATGGAAAAACATCCCATGTTTACTGACTGGAAGAAACATTGTTAGAATGTTTTAACAAAACACTGTTAACATATTACCTAAAAGCAATTTACAGATTCAACAGAAAACCTTTCAAAATCCCATGACTTCTTTTCCAGGAAATAGAACAAATAATCTTAACACTTGTATGGAACCACAAAGGCCCCTAATAGCCAAAACAATCTCAAGAGAAAAACAGAGGTACCAAACTGCATGACTTTCAAACTCTACTACACAGCAACTGTAATTAAAACAGTATGGTGTTGGAACATAACCCCAAAATTACAGAGATCTGTAAATAACTGATAAAGAAAAATTTGAAAAAAAAAAAAAAAAAAAAAAAACTCATATAAGGATCTTAAAACAATACCTTCTTAAAACAATACTCATATAAGGATCTTAAAACAAGTCCTTCTACGCTTTGACAAAGATGTGATATGTACTATTCCTGATTATTTATTGTCCATAAGATAGAATTAATCTTATATAAAATAGAATTAATCTAACTATAAGAACACTGAGAAGACCAATCCTATGCCCAAAATGGAGAAGAAAAGCAGACAGCTGAATACTAGCAATGTCTTACTCATCATCCAATCCTTTTTTGTTTTAATTGATTTACCACTTGTTTATAACATTATGTAAGTTTTAGGAGGACAGCTTCATAAATATGGTCTTACTTCATCTTCCACAGGGTACAAGTTTTGCTCTGAACAAGGCATCTTTACATGCTTGTTGTCCCACAAATCCTTAAAATGTGTTGGAAAAGGTTTAGGAACTTCTCCTGCTCGCAAAAGGTCTACCTGAAATAGAGATAAACAAGAAAACTGTAAGTACATAATAAAAAGGGTGTATCTTCCACATAACAATCCAAAGAAAGCAGCCAAAGCATGCAGCTCTCCTTCCCACTGATGACTATGGAGGTGTTTCTTTTCACAAACTTTTCCTTTGCAAAGCAGCAGCAGCAGATTTCCTGCCTACCTGTGACTATGTAGGTAACTCTCTTTTTCTTTCTCCTTTCCCTAATAAACCTGTCCTTTTAAAATGTAAAAAAAAAACAACAAAACAAAACAAAAAGAGAAGAAAAATGCTATAAAATACAGCAAATGCTATAAAATACAGCCCAGCTCCTAGCTAAGAAATCTCAGATGTCTTCTTCATCTAGTCCCACTCCCTATTTACATTTAATCAGTCTTCAGTTCACCATGTCCTGTACATTCTACCTGTATCCCAGCTAGACCCATGATCTTTATTATTGCTTACCTCAATTTCTGCCAAGAGTCTTCTACCCCTTCCTAACTCCAACTACTACCAGACACATTCATGCCCCATAAAATCCTGTCCCTACTTGGGAATAACATTATCTTTCTAAAGTATTCATAGGAGTCTCATCCTATGATGGTTCCCTCCTCTGCCTACACTGATTCCAAATGATGTTTAACAACCTATCTTACACTAACACTATCTGATTAAACATCCCTTCTGATGCAACTCTCAGCTCAATTTTCATTTCCTCTGAGGAGTTTTCAGAAACTTTTTAATATTCAGTTAGTTTATTCCCTCTTGTTTTATTAGATCATTATCATACGTTACCATCAAGCATACATTTTCTTTTTCCCAATAAACTCTAAACTTCTTGAGACTAATAACTACATTAACTATGAATATTTATATAAGAGTTAGGGATGTGAAAGTTTACATCAATCTAATATTTATATAAGGTTTCTCTCTCACACAATATTATGAAAATTCTATTCACACACCTAAATAGTTATTATGTATATTTTACCAAAAAAGAGACTTGTTTTAGAAATGCTATATTTCAGATACCTGTGGGACAGTGATGGAGATGTCTAAAAGAATCTGAAGTTCAGAAAAGAAGGCAATACTGGAGAACAATTTGAGGATACTGAACCATATGCAACTTAAATTTTAGGGACTAATCCCATAGTGAGTGCTTAGTAATACTGTCGATTAATTAGTAAGTGGCCCTAAAAATACTGAAAAAGTCAATTTTCTCATCAGCTGACAATGATTCATCTTACAGATTTATTAAGTACTATATGAAGTAAGTTAATATTACATTCCTCCATCTGTAGACTTCTTATTACTTTACATATGCAGGACAGGATTTTTGTATGAAAATCTATTTTTCACACTAAAAAGTATCATAATAAATCAAGCAACTTCTCTTTATGAGAGGTAAAACCTACCCGAATAGTTACTGTGTGATTAGCAGATGGTCTCAAGAGAGGCAGCCGAATTCCACACCGAGGCATTCTTCTCATTTCTTCAATAGGAGTTCCAAGCCATTTCTTATCTGGAGAAAGGTGAGGTGGAACGTATTTAGGGATCTTCCTTTCTGTTCTTTGATGTTTGATTTCACATTGTTCTTTTCTAAGGTCAAAAAAAAAAAAATCACTACTTATATTCCTTTGTATACACAAATACAAAACTTACCCAGAATCTTATTAAACTTTTCCTTTCCTACTTGGTATTTACAATTAAAAGAAAAACTTAACAAAGCTTATAGTAAAACCCAAGAGCCTGTTTTTAGTATCTCTAAACACATGTAAATCACCATCTGAAAAAAAGGAGCATATTTTACCCAATTATTGTCCTTTGCAGATATTGCATTTTTACCAATTAAAAGTTTTTTGGCACTTCTATTTTGAACAAGTATAACACAATTTTTCCAACAGCATGTGCTCATTTCATGTCTCTGTGTCACAAAATTTCAAATCTTTTCCTTATATTAGATGTATCATGGTGATCTGTGAAGCAGTGATCTTTGATGTTACTATTCTAATTGTTTTGGGACACCATTAACTGCACCAGTAAAAGACAGTGAACTTAACTGATAAATGATATGTGTGTTCTGTCTGTTCCACTAACTGTTTGCACCCCCATCTCTCTCCCTCTCTTCAGGCCCCCCTATTCTAAGACATGACGATAATAAAATTATGTCAGTTCATAACCCCACAATAGCTTCTAATTGTTCAAGTGAAAGGAAGACTCACATCTCTTACTTTAAATCAAAAGCTAGAAATGATTAAGCTTTCGTGAGGAGGAATGCATGTCAAAAGCTAAAACAGGCCAAAAGGTAGGCCTCTTGCACTAAACAACCAAGTTGTGAAAAAAAAATGAAAAGTTCTTGAAGAAAATTAAAAGTGTTACTCCAGGAAACATACAAAAGATAAGAAAGGGAAACAGACTTATTATTGATACAGAGAAAGTATGCTCTGAATAAACATCAAACCAGCCACAATAATCCCTTAAGCCAAAATCTAATACAGAGCAAGGCCTTCAACTCTTGATAATTCTATCAAGATTAAAAAAGGTGAGGAGGGCCTCCCCGGTGGCACAGCGGTTAAGCTCTGGGTTGCGAAGCTGCCGAAGCCTCTGCGACGCCGGTTCGATCCCCGGCTGCTCCCCGGCCACCAGAGGAGGGTCCCACATGGCGTGCAGACCTCTCCTGCCGCCCGCTGCTCCCCTCAGCAGTGTACTTCGGTCCTTCTGCCTGCTCTGCTCCCCGCTCTGGCTCTGGTGAATTCTCTCACCCTCCCGCACTTCTGACTGTACCCAGTGCATGTATAAACAAAACAAACAAACAAACAAACAAACAAATAAATAAATAAAACATGCCCCTATTAAAAAATAAAATAAAATAAAATAAAAAAATTTAAAAAAAAAAAAAAAAGGTGAGAAAAATAATAAAGAAAACTTTGACACTAGTAGAGGTTGATTCATGGGATTTAAGAAGCCTTCCTCATATACAAAAGTACAAGATAAAGTAGCAGGTGCTGATATAGAAACTGCAGTAAGTTATGCAGAAGATCTAGTTGAGATAACTGATGAAGGTGACTATAATGAACAATAAACTTTCACTGTATACAGCCTTCTGTTGGAAGAAGCTGCCATCTAGGACTTTCATAGCTAAAGATGAGAAGTCAATGCCATGGTTTAAAGTGTCAAATGAGGGCCTCCCCAGTGGCGCAGCGGTTGAGCACTGGGTTGCGAAGCTGCCCGCAGCCTCTGCAGCGCCGGTTCAATCCCCGGCCGCTCCCCGGCCACTGGAGGAGGGTCCCACATGGCGCGTAGACCTCTCCTGCAGCCCGCTGCTCCCCTCAGCAGTGTACTTCGGTCCTTCTGCCTGCTCTGCTCCCCACTCTGGCTGTGGTGAATTCTCTCACCCTCCCGCACTTCTGACTGTACCCAGTGCTTGTATAATTAAATAAATGAATGGATAAATAAATAAATCTTTAAAAAAAATAATAAAGTGTCAAATGACAGACTCTTTTGTTAGGGCTAATGTAGCCAGTGGATTTAAGTTGAAGACAATGTTCATTTATCATTCCAAAAATCCTAGGTTCCTTAAGAATTAGAGTAAACTTACTCTGCCTGTGATCTATAAATGGAACAGAGAAGTTTGGATGACAGCATATCTGTTTATATCATGGTTTACTGAATTTTTGAAGTCCACCACTAACACCTAAGAAAAAAAGATTCCTTTCAAAATATTACTTATCATTGACAATCAACATGGTTACCCAAGAGCTCTGATGAGATGTACCAGGAGATTAATGTTGCTTTGATGCCTGCTAATACATTGTCTGTTCTGTTGCCCATGAATGAAGGAGTAGTTTCAACTTTCAAGTTTTGTTATTTAAGAAATACATTTTGTAAGACTATAGTTGCCATAATGATTCCTCTGATGTGTCTAGATAAAGTAAACTAAAAATTCTGTGTATTCATAATTCCAGATGTTTTTAAGAACATGCATGATTCATGGGAAGAGGCCAAAATATTAACTTGAGTTTGGAAGAAGTTGATTCCAGCCCTCATGCATGACTTTGAGGGGGTGAAAAACTTCAGTGGAGGAAATAACTGCAGATGTGGTAGAAATAGCAAAGAAAACTAGAATTAGAAGTGGAACCAGAGGATATGGCTGAATTGCTGATGTCATGATAAAACTTAGAGGGATGAGAAGTTCTTATGGATCAGCAAAGAAAGCAGTTATCTTAAGATGGAATCTATTACTGGTGAAAATGCTATAAATACTGTTGAAATGACAACAAAAAATTTAGAATATAACATAGATTTAGTTGATAAAACAGCAGCAGGGTTTGAGAGGAATGACTCCAATTTTAAAAGTTCTACTATGGGTAAAATGCTATTCAAACAGCAAAGCAAGCTACAGAGAAATATTTCATAAAAGTAAACCAATGTGGCAAACTTTACTGTGTCTCATTTGAAGAAATTGCCACCACCGCCCCAATTTTCAACAACCATCACCCTGATCAGTCAACAGCCAACAGCATCAAGGCAAGATCCACCAGCAAAAGGATCACAACTGAAGGCTCAGGTGATGGCTATCATTTTTTAGAAATAAAGTAATTTTGAATTAAGTTACATAAATTGTTCTTTAAGACATAATGCTATGCACACTCATAAACTACAATATAGTGTAAACATAAGTTTTATATGTGCTGGGAAACAAAAATGCATGTGTCTTGTTTTATTGTGATATTTGCTTTGTTGCAGTGGTCTAGACCAAAACCTACAATATCTCCAAGGTGTGTCTGTATAAGGTACTTCTCAGATCTCTAGACAGTTAATTTCCAATGAAGCAAACTTATTATGACAGACGTGCTAGAAAACTAAAGATAACAGAAATCAGAGAGAATGGACTTTAAGATTCCATATGGAATAACTATAATCAGACTATGATTTAAATCCCAGCATTATCACTCATTTATGTAATTTCAGTGAATTCACTAAGCTAAATCTCGGTTTTCTCATTTGTGAAATGATTACAATATCACTAACCATCCATCAGAGCCTTAGAGAAAATGCAGGACACAATGGCGTAGGAAAATGGCTAAATAAACACTAGTCATTATCAACCTGCTTTTGGGTTCTGATAATTCCCATAAACTTCAGAAAGAAGTTTATGAAACTAAAAATTTTAACAATATTAACTTACTCCTTATTTTCTGTTTCTAATCTTTTTAGAGTTTAAAATTTTGAGTCTAGGTTTTAATTTAGCATAAATACTTCGTAAGAGACACAACTATTTCTGTGCTTCAGTGTAAAACATAACTTTGTTAAACTCTCTTACAAAATTATAAAACTTATTACACTATTGGAGAGAATTCCTGATAGAAAAAAATTACCTTTTGTCCTCTACTTTGGGTATTCTCATGAAATGATCTGTGATTTTAGAATCCTTTTTCCCATGTTGTTTGGAAATTCTGCATTCTACATTCAGACTTGAAGTACTTCCAGGCAGTCTGGCATTTAAATCATTTATACCAGTTCGACTCTCTCCTCCTTCAAATTGGAAATGTAATCTAATTTCACTTCCCTTAGCAGAAGATCGTTTCCTCAATTCATTGTCAGTTTCTCTTGCTTGGAATCTCAAAGATTTATTTGCTGTCTGGGAAGAATTGCTATCTTCTTGTTCATCAAAACCTGGACTTGTCTCTTCATCTGCTTCTGAGTCCTGACAACTATTTTTGGAATTATCTACATCCATTGGTGACTCGGGTTCACTTTCTTTCTCAAAAGGAGGAGAATTTCCTGTATTACTTTCTTGTCTACTCAATTTGTTAGCATTTTTCAGTCCAGTAGCAACATCCTCAGACCCAATGTCTGACAAAGGACTCTCTGGCACCACATCTGTCTCTTCTGGCTGACAATCTGCACAGTCTTCAACAAGATGGCAAGGCTTGCTGCATTTCTGGTGACTTCTGGTTTCTCTGGCCTGTTCATCTTCCGTAGCCTGCTTTGCATTAGCAAGCTTTACAGGTATCAAAAACTGTTGATTATCTCTGCTTTCTTCACTGTCTGTGTCACTGTGCTCATCATTTTGGGGTGACTGATCAACATTAGCATTACTGAACTGCTCTGGTACCAGAGTTACTACTGGAGGTTCACTTTCCAAAAGCTGTTCTGTATGTTTCTCTTCATTTTGCCACTTACACATAGCTGTAGTCTGATGCTGGTTCAAATACTGTGTACCTTTTTCAACTGGTGATTTATCAAGACTTAGCTGAGAAACATTTTCTAATTTTTCCATGTTATGTTGATAAAAGTTATCTTTTTGTACAGAACTCATCATAGATTCTACTCTTGTATTGTTGTTTTCTTTACTATGCAAACTATAAGAGAATAAAAAGAACTAATGATATAATAGAAAGAGAACATGATACCAAAAAAAAAAAAATCATACAACCACACTTTCATACTGACACAGCGATAATTAAATTACTTGTGGTTACCTGAGTATATAGCATGCTTTTTCATAACTCTATGTCTTTGCACACATACCTAAAATGCCCTTTCCCCAAGTGTATGCCTGGTAAACACCTGCCCTCCCTATAAGTATTAATCTTCACTTACCTCCTATGCAAATTTTCCTACAAAGGTAAAGCTGATTGATATATCAATCTATATAATGTAATAACATCATTTCACCTTGTTTGCACCTTTACTGCTGCATCTATCTCATTATATAATAATCTAATTTTTTGTGATTATTATTACATATGATACTATAAGTATCTTAAAGACAGAAACAACTCCTCTTTCATCTCTCTATCTCAAATAACAAGGCAGTCCCTGACACATAGGAGCCTCTGAAAAATTGTTATTTATAAACTGAAAGAATGAATTAATGTAGATAAAGAAAAATAGGAAAGTAAGAATAGAAAACAGCATGAAGCAAGATAAAACATCCATATATCATGCTATTAATTTCTCTATGAGGGCATATCTCTATACCTTTCTGACTCAGTTGTCTTGATTCCTTTAGTGTCCATCCAACTGGTAATAGTCTTTTGTTTGAAAACTGTAAAAGAAAACAAAAACAAACCCAAAAACATTAATGAAGATGCACACGTACCTTCAAAAAGAAAATAGCTATAGCAGCATATACATGAATGTAGGTTCTGTGGGTTAAACATATTATCACTCCAACACTCAAGCAATATAACAGGAATATAAATAAGAACACATTTGGAATATAGTAAGAAGTGAATGGTCCCTAAGAGTCAGTATGGCCTAAAAATGGACGAGAGTACAGGTTCTAGAATCAGACCATCTGGATTTGAATCCTGGCTCTCCAACGGAATTCCTAAGTGATTTTCTGAAGGGTCATTTCTCTATCTCATGCAAATATAAACAAAAATTAACAGTACCTTTCCTGTGACTATTATGAGATTTAAATTAAATAATAATCCATGCAAATTCTCTAAAGCCCTGCCAAGTATAAGCCCAGTAAATATGAGTTCTTAATTATGTTTTAGTATTAAAAGAGAACCTAATAAAGAAATAAGGTATTTTCCAGGAAAGGACTACTTTAGGCAAATGAGTGGAATAATCTGATAAGTGGTATTTAAATAATGCCTTGAAAAATAAACATGTAATTACATAAAGGGAAACAATAAGCAAATGTACCAGTGGCAAGGAAATACAAAGAATTTTAAAAGAATGCAACAGAAGATATAGTTAAAGGAATCTAGTACCACATCACAGAGGTTACTGAATAACCTTGAGTAACAAAAAATGTCAAGTCACACTCAAGAGTTGTGATTCCAGAATGTAGGCACCTTAAATCATACACATATTCTTATTTACCTATGTCTCCTCAAACACTGTAATAGGAGCAAAACAGTTGCTGTCCCAAATACATGCAAATCAATAGTTTATTTATGACTGTATTTAACTGCCATATAATTTACTGTATTTAACTGCCATATAATTTAAAAATCTGATTATCATTTTTCATAATTTCTCTCACAAAAAAGTTATTACATATTTGATAATTCTTGTTAAACAACACTACTCTAGCGATTTTATACCATTACTACTTATAAAACAAATTGGTTTTCAGAGAAAAAGTTAGCTTAGTCAGAACTACTTCATTCTTAGATGTTTTCTACAGTTCCACCTTATCCATTTCATATCAAATACAGCAAATATCAAAAATCCTCAGATTACAAACCAGCAAATGAACAAAAAAAAAAATATTTTTTAATCAGTACAGAATTTAAAACACTTTTTCCATAAGTGTAAGGATTAAATGGTATGCAATAATTAGGTTCCTATAAAACACATGGAGTATGTTGGCAAGTCTATAGAACCTATAAGCTGTTTAAATCATTTCATAGAAGACTACAAAGAGTTTCCTAACAGTTGAAGAAGAAAGGTCTCTCCTACAGCTCTGACAATGTATTCTCTGTCCAGCTTCAGGCTTCCTACTATACTTTCTAAAGCCCGAGAAAGGGATGAAAGAGGAGAAGCAAAAAGGGGAGGAATTGATAAATACTTCCTGCAAAAAAATATTCCTCTTGGACTTCCCCGGTGGCGCAGCAGTTGAGCGCTGGGTTGCGAAGCTGCCCGCAGCCTCTGTGGCGCCAGTTCAATCCCCAGCTGCTCCCCGGCCACCGGAGGAGGATCCCACATGGTGCGCAGACCTCTCCTGCGGCCCGCTGTTCCCCTCAGCGGTGTACTTTGGTCCTTCTGCCTGCTCTGCTCCCGGCTCTGACTCTGGTGAATTCTCTCACCCTCCCGCACTTCTGACTGTACCCAGTGCTTGTATGTATGAAAAAATCAATCAATCAATCAATAAATCTTTAAAAAAATATATTCCTTGGTCTTTCTGGGGGCCTTAGAGAAAAGGTGACCTAATTTTCTTACCAACACCATTAATTCAGGCTTTTAAAGATTTCCTTCACATCACAAGATGCTCAGTGTTTACCCCTTGCTCCTGAAATAAGCATAAAATGATGATTACCCATTTTACTAGTACTTCACCTTTTTGAGCCTATTTCCTTGCTTATAAAGTAGGGTTCACAGTATCTACTTCCAACGGTTTTGCAGCTCAATGGGAGAAGATATTAAGTCTCCTATCTCACAAAACAGAAACTCAACAACAGTATTCTCTCCTAAGATCAATAGTTCTACTTAATTTTGATGTTACATCATTTACATATAACCTTATCAGTAGTATCACTCAGTAAGGAACAAATCATTCAATTAGGCACTACAGATATAGGCAAAAGGCACAAAATGCAGTAAATTTCACCTGTACTTCAAAGGAAAATCTCACTTCCAGAAGAAAATCTTTTTCTTCCAACAGTAAGATAAAGTGTGTGAAGGATGTTGTGAGATCAAAGCGCAATGGGCAACTGGAGTTTTGCGATGAGAAAAATGGTCTGAAGATGTATTTGATAGCCCAGTTACTGAAAGAACAGTAAAGGAGATGGGTGACAAGCCAGCCCCAGTCTCCCACTGTCTACCACTGACCTATGCAGGGACCATTTTTGGAGTGTGGAGAGAAATTCTAGGCAGTTAAAACAGGCGGAAAGGGGAGCAACTCTAGCACCACAAATGGATAAACCATACCCCGCCAGAAATTCCCCATCAGGATGTAACTATCATGCTAAGTTTTGCCTATTTGCAGATTTTCAAATTGCAATCAATTTAATAAATATGCCCAGGAAAATAAATAATACAAATTTTAAAGTAAATACCTTTCCCTGTTTCTCCTAGGATAACTATACATAAAAATTTAAATACCAAGTTCCCAAAAAATGCTCCAAAATTTGAAACAATACTTGACACAAATTTGAACATTTTAATTTGTGTCCTGTGCCAGGTATACAGAAAACATTTACACATATGAAGTATAGCCCATTATTAATTGAGTTCCTCTTCTGCATAAAATCAGAAAATACAACCAGTGAGGACATACAAGGGTATTATTTTATGAAACATTTGTTTCCTTTATAAATCTTGCATTTTTACCAGGTTAAATATATTTCTTGTCATGTATCAGGTGAAATTTGTACTGTGCATTGCGGTCAGAAAATCCAAAGTCCACTGTCTAAAGCCATCTTTTCTAAAATATTACTCAAATGGTATTCCCCTGATTACAAGCTTTATAGTGGCTCTCCATTCACCACAGAATGAAGTCCAAAGTCCTTAAAATGGCACTTCAGTTTACCCATAAGCCCTTATCCCACTTCCCAGCCAAAGCTGACATGTCTGTCATTCTGTGTTCTTGTCTACCAACTTTTGCACACTCCATTGCTTTTGAGAATACAATTCTTTCCTCCCTTAATTTATACAACAAATCCTCCTCATCTTTCAATATTTACTTTAGCTTTGCTCCCCACTGTCTCTAACTCCTGAGAAAATTAAGTGTACTATTCACCAGTGGCCTGCTTGTCCTCTCCCTGGCCTCTGACCCTACAGAGTTGTTTTTGAAATGTTCTTTTCCCTGCATGACACAAAAGCCAGACTTTCTTCCTACCTGTGGCTGCTTCTGCTTCTCTTCAGTCTACTCTTAAATACTGGGGTTCCTTAAATTTCTTTATTAAGTTAGCTTTATTTTCTCAACAAGTTGATTTACTCTACTCTCTCCCTCTTTTTAAAAAGATTTATTTATTCATGCATACAAGAACCTGGGTACGTGCGGGAGGGTGACAGGATCCACCAGAGACAGAGTGGGGAACAGAACAGGCAGAATGGCTGAATACGCTGCTGAGGGAAGCAGCAGGCGAGACAGGAGAGGTCTGCCACGCCATGTGGGTATCTCCCCTACTGGGATCAAACCCACGCTGCAGAGGATGCGAACAGCTTCCTTTCAGTTAGCTTCCTTCCAGTTAGCTTTATTTTCTCAACAAGTTGATTTACTCTACTCTCTCCCTCTTTTTAAAAAGATTTATTTATTCATGCATACAAGAACCTGGGTACGTGCGGGAGGGTGACAGGATCCACCAGAGACAGAGTGGGGAACAGAACAGGCAGAATGGCTGAATACGCTGCTGAGGGAAGCAGCAGGCGAGACAGGAGAGGTCTGCCACGCCATGTGGGTATCTCCCCTACTGGGATCAAACCCACGCTGCAGAGGATGCGAACAGCTTCACAGTGCTGCGCTCAACCCCCTGCACCACCAGGGAGGCCATTTACTCTATTCTCATAGCATCATTTATCATGTTTATGCCAAGAACTCACAAATCTTTATCTCAAACACAGACATATATCTTATGAGGTACAAACCCAAGTACCCATTTCTCCTGAATCAATCCACTTCTCTTCCCTACTGCCCACCACAGGTATAAGACATCATCATCTCCCACCTAAACGAACTCCTGAACTAGACTTGGAACTCCACTTCTGCTCCCTTTCAATCTATTCTCCATTTTCCACACACCACCCACAGAAATCTTGCAATAAAAAAGCAAGATATACATATACGTGTACATAAATAGATCTTAATCTATATATATCTGACAAGTCACTCTCCAGTGGAAAATTCTTTAATGGTTTCTCATTGCCCTTAGAGATAAACGTCCAAAACCCTTAGCATTATATGTCCCAATATGATCTGATCTTTGCTTACCTCTCTGCATCCCCACCTCTGATTGCTCCCCCTGTTGACAGTTATCATCAGCTGCACTCCAGAAATACCTTCTTATATCCTCTTCATCTAGTATCTCTTTCCTCCTCATTCTCCAGCTCTCAGAATAAGCATCTCAGTTTCTGGAGAATTATCTTTGATCCCACAAACTGGGTTAGGTACTCCTGATTCATACGGTAAAGATATGTCTATGACCTATGAGAATATCTATTTCCCTATATTATGTTGACTTCTATAATTGTCTCTCCTGATAGATTTTAGAGTCTGAAGTCAAGTGGCCAGGTTACTCTTGGTCAACACTGTATGCCAGAGACAAGTATAATGCCAATTAAGACGAATAGCTCTGCACTCTCCGCCCCAGAATCTGATCTAAGAGACATTGTGACCTCCTTTGTAGCTTTCCTTACATCTAGAGGTCAAAGCCTCACATATACAATTAGCCCTCCGATAATTTCCCAGGAAAGCGAACAGTGGAGTATTACGCGATTCCCCGCCCTGTGAGTAACTGCTCATCAGGGTTTCTGACACCATGAACGTAACAGAGAACATGCGGCCATACTACTCCACTAGTAGACCTGGTCGCTCAAAAAGGGAACCTCATCGTAGTGCTGCACACAAGATCAGACAGAGGTGAGTGGGAATCCCTGGGTCTTCGGAGACCAAGAAAAGGTTTCGTCCGAGGTGAAGTACAAAGATCTTTATTTCCCCACGTACCAAGCGAGGTGGCGCTGCCTCGGTGCGGTCCCGCCCGCCCCGGGATGCAGCCTGCTGAGGACCGTGGGACCCTGAACTGCACGGGAGCGTCCTTGGGGTCGAGGACGCGCCTCTGCCTGCCGGGGAAGCTCCGGGAGTCCGAGGCGGCAGGCGAAGTCGCAGCGGCGCCCCAGCGGGGTCGCTTGGTGCAGGGCTCACAGCCGGGGCCCGCACTCATGCTGAGACCCGCAGCGCACAGTGCCCGGGCCGGCCCGGACGGAGAGCCTCATTCACTAACCCTGAGAGGGACGGACCGCGCCTCCTCCTTGGCGCCTCCGGGCACCATTCCCTCTCTGCCGCTGCCTGCTCCTGCAGATGCTGCTCCGCTGGCCTCCGAGCCAGGCCCGAGCCAGCCGCCTTCCTTCCCTCTTCCACAGGCAGCCCACCTGCCTGAGGTTGCGCCGCTTTGATTCTGGCTTCGTTCACTTTCCCACCACCGGAAAGCTGCCGTCAAGCGCGTCCGGCTTCCGGGCGTGCGACGTCGCAAAGAGGAAGTGCGGCGCTTTGCGGCCGCCGGCGCCCGGAAGGTCAGCGTGTGAAGGAGGCGGTGGTAACGCGGGTGTCCCCGCTGCTACTGAGGCCTAACGGCCGAGCAGGCAGCCACGGCCTGACGCTTCAGTGAGAAGCACGCGGGCATTTTGCTGCAAAAGTATGGAGGGCGGCGGGGGCAGCGGCAACAAAACCACCGGGGGCTTGGCCGGCTTTTTCGGAGCCGGCGGAGCAGGTTACTCGCACGCGGATTTGGCCGGCGTCCCGCGTAAGTATCGGCCTGGCTGGCCGCACGGCTGACTGGTTTCTGCGACCACGCCAGCCGTGAGGTGCTTTTTTTCAGCGGCGGGGCCCAGGACTCAGAACGGGTGGTGGGGGTTAGTGTGTCTGTGCGGACGCCCTTTCCAGATGCAGCACATTTTTTTGTAGCCATGGATCCCCTCAAAGCTCTCTGTGGTGGGCCTGCGCCCCTGGGATGTATGTTTTTTCTTCCTTTTACGAAAGTCAAGCCTCGTGCCTTTTCTTGCCCCCGCACATTCCTGTGTGCTGAACCGTGTGTTTGGCCCTAGGTTTGGAGGCGAGTCCGGCTGTGCAAGTAAATGTATTCCAAATAAGGAGCTTTAGATAGAACTTTTTAGCACAAAGGCTTATAGTCTGAACCACAAAGACGTCGTCAGAGCAAGGCACACAAGAATAATGTCTGTAGACGGAAAAGATGTATGAATCGGAACAAGGCAGGAAACTACTTAGAGGAGGTGGGAAGTGACCTGAACATTTAAATTAAAGGTTTTTTATAGACGCGAAGAAAGAAACCAGGTAAGAATTTTAGGAAAGGAAATAGAAAAGATTGAGGGTGCAGAAGCTTTAATACTCTTACCAGTGCCCGCTCCTCAATCCAATGAATTCCAGATCTTTGGGACGTTGTAACAGTAGGTATTCAACTGGATGAATACAGCCTGGACTTAAAGATACAGGGAAGATGGTCGTGGTGGATAAGCTCTTTACATATACTTTCCTTTTTTTAGAAATCCTTGTACTATTTCTCTAGATCCTTAACTGTCAGGAACAACAACAACAACAAAAGCCCTTTCCTAAGCTCACCTGTGTCAAAACTGAATCTAGGGAACAGTTCATAGGTCTTAAAAACTTTTGAATTTCTGGGCATAAAGGCTATTTGCCTTAATGTGACAGTTAGATTTATTTGATTTTTACAGGTAAATTGAGAGATAGGCGTGAGCATCATTCATTGATCACCTACAATGAGCCAACAAATGTTTAGGGTACAGGGTTACAGCAGTTAGGAAAAGATGACTGCTGGCTTTGTGGCATTTACATCTGAGTTAAAGTGAGCCAAGTAATATAAATAAAAACATTGCACTTAGTGATGCGTGCTGTAAAGGCACTAAAACAGGATCATAACATTGTGATAGAAGCAAGAAGCCATTTTAGAATGGGTCAGAGGTGTTGGCATTTGAGCTGTGATCTGAATACAGGACAGATGTGGGGGGTGGAGGGCAGGTGTTCCAAGGAAAACAGCAAGTATAAATGGGGGGGGGGTTGACTTTCATGTTTGAGGAACAGTTGTTAAGCCTTGTGTCTACAGAATTGCCGAGGGAGTTGGAATGGTAGGACATAATGACATCAGATAGGTAAGGAATGATAGCCAATGGTAGGGTTTTCTAAAACCATGGTAAGGAGCTTGGATTTTGATTATAAGTATAAAGGGAAAAGCTGCTTCCTTTACCTAAAAAGTAACTGGTTGCTAAGTAGAAAATGAATTGAAGGAACTGAGCAAAAAGGATCCCAGTTAAGTTGGTTTACTGTAGTAAAGTGATTTTAGTAGCTGGACTAGGATAGTAGCAATAAAGATAATGATAAATAATACAATTCAGACTAGGTATTAGATGTAGAATAATAGGACTTCTGATTGATGAAAATATCAGAGTTATGGATAGTGGATAGCTTTGTGAATAATCAGCTGAGATGCAGAAGGATCCAAAGATTAAATTTAAAAATGTGAGAAAGTTGATTTTCCTACTTAGTTTTTTCTCTTCTTTTGTTTTTAACTCTAATCTGTATGGCGAGGACCCAAGAATTATCTGCCCTTCCAGAGTAAACTCTTGTCGGTAGCTGTCTACTCTTTACGCAGTCCCCACTGCCAACAAGAAGGATACGCACAGAAAAATGGGAGAAAATTTCACATTCAGTGAGCCTGCAAATGGAAATTGGGAAGCACATGAAATAAGCAAAATCGGAAGTAACACTACAGGAAATAAAAATTTTGTTGAAATATTGTGCTTTCTTTTTTTCTCTAGTAACTGGTATGAACCCTCTGTCTCCTTATTTAAATGTGGATCCACGATATCTTGTGCAGGTAAGATTAACACTAGTCCTTTATGATTTTTTTTTTTTTAAGATTTTTTTTTAATTATTTATGCATACAAGAGCTGGGGTACAGGCCAGAGATGCAGGGAGTGAGAAGATTCACCAGAGACAGAGTAGGGAACAGAACAGGCAGATTGACCGAAGTACACTGCTGAGGGGAGCAATGGGCAAGTCAGGAGAGGTCTGCTGCACCATGTGGGTAGCTCCCTGGCCGGAGATCAAACTCATGTTTCAGAGGCTGCATACAGTTTCATAGGTTGTGTCTTAACCCCTTGCGCCACCAGGGAATCCCAAAGATTGATTTATTTATGCATACAAGAGCGGGGGTAAAGGCCAGAGATGTGGGGGGTGAGAGGATCCACCAGAGACAGCGGGGAACAGAACAGGCAGACTGAAACACTGCTGAGGGGAACAGCAGGCGAGACTCCAGAGGTCGGCTGTGCCATGTGGGTTCCTCTCTGGCCGGCCAGAGATCAAACTCGTGTTGCTGAGGCTTCAGATTGATTCATGGTGTGTGCTTAACCCCTTGCGCCACCAGGGAGGCCCCTTTATGATTTTATCAGTTTGCTACTTTAGCTTACCATTTTAAAAAAATGCCAAGCGGTTAATGCAGACTTGATCTGTGAGATGTCCATCTGGAGGCACTGAATCTCTGGTCTCCATCTTTTCTTTTCTTTTTTTTTTTTTCTTTTTTTTTCCTCACAACTCTGGGGATTTGGCTTGCATCTTTCCCTGACACTGGCCTGTTAACTCCCTTGAAAGGGGTTTGGGTTTGTTGTGGGTTTTTTTGTTTTGTTTTCCTTTTTTTTTATGTTGTGAAAAATACAAATAAAAATTTACTACCTTAACCATTTTTAAGTGTTCAGTGGTATTAAAGACATTCATAATATTTTACAACCATCACCACCTATTTGCCATAAATTTTTAATCTCCAATAACTAACTATCGCGGTTAAATAATAACTCCTCCCCCAGCTCCTGGCAGCCATGCTTCTGCTTTCTTTAATACCAGATACTCTTACGTACCTAAAATAATTGGAATCATAACAGCATTTTGTCTTTTTGTGACTGACTTTTTTCATTTAGAGTAATGCCCTCAAGATTCATCTATATGATAGCATGGGTCAGAATTTTCTTCCTCTTAAGGAGAAGGATCAGGACAGGGGTGGGAAGAGCACAAGGGACTATGGTGATGGTACACGGGTGAATGTGTAGTGGGAATTTCACAGGGAAATCATACATAGTACAAAATGAAGGATGATATAATAAATATATACATTAAAGAATTTTATTCCTCTTTAAGATTGAATATTATTCCATTGAATAATACTACATTTTGTTTATCTGTTGATGCACACTTAACTTGCTTCCATGTTTTAGCTATTGTGAATAATGCTGCCAAGAAAATTATTACATAGATTAATATACCAGACTCCCTTTCAGTCTTTTGGTTATATATGCAGAAGTAGAATTGCTGGATCATATGGTAATTCTATTTTTACTTTTCTGAGGAACTGACACACTGTTTTCCACAGCAGCTGTATCATGTTACATTCCTACCAACAATTCACAAGGGTTCCAGTTTCTCCACATCTTTGCCAAAACCTTTTATTTTCTGGGGCATTTTGGTAATGACTATTCTGATGGTTATGAGGTAGTGGTTCATTGTAGGTTATTTTTCTGTTTTTGTATTTAAAGTACAAGGTTTTTTTAAAAAATGATTATTATTGAAGTACCATTGTTTTATATCCTTTCCTAGTATTTTGACAATATAGGTTTGGTTTTGTCTGCCCCTTTTATTTCTCTACTCATCATAATCCTTGTCTTTTTTTTTTTTTTTTTTTAGATTTTTTGGTTTTCTGTTGCTGGATTTTAGGAGTTTTTGTATATGGTGTTAGATAAGGGTCCAACTTAACTCTTTTCCATGTGGTTATCTATCTAGTTTTCACAGCACCATTTGATGAAAAGGCAATCTTTTCCTTCTGGAATGATCTTGGCTTTCTTCTTGAGATAATTTGACCATACATACCAAGGAGATTTTCTGGGTTCTCCATTCTGTTTCATTAGTCTGTCTGTCTTTATGCCAGTACAACACTATTTTGATTACTGTTACTTTATAGTAAAGAAATTAGACCTGTGATGCTCCAGCATGGTTCCTTTCAAGATTGTTTTTACTGGTTGGGGTTCATCAAGAGGATGGGTTTTTCTGTTTCTGCAAAAACACTTGGTATTTTGATAGGGCTTGCTTGGAATCTATTGATCACTTTGGGTAGTATTAACATCTTAATGTTTGCTTTCAACTTTTACAGTATTTTTGTTATGGTTGACTCTAGTTGAAGAGTGAGTTGAGTGATGGATGGCATATACTGATATGTGTGCTTACTTGGTGCTCATCACAGTAATCTTTTTCTTTAATTTTCTATTTGTACTTAGTGGTCCATTCATGAATAGAAAGATAATTATTTATCTCATTAAATCAAATGCAGCATTTCTAAAAGTTTCAAGCAAAAAGCATGGTTTTGTACCAAGTCATTCATTTAAAAATAGGGAAGCAGAGCCTCCCTGGTGGCTCAAGGGGTTAAGACA